GCTTCTTTACAGCAAGCCTCAGCAGTATCCACGAAATTTTACGATTGTGTCAAATTGTATGTAGATGCAAGCCAATTCTTTTTCCTTAATGATCGTTTAAACATTGTTCGACTGTTACTCTGTGATCTGTTTTATGCTCACAATTGTGCATATATTGTTGCCTGGCAACTAAAATACTCGCAAGTTGGTGTTGTTGACATACCTTTTTCTTGAATGTTTGTGAAAACGCGGTGTAAAAGCAGAGTATGTTGACTATTCAAAATGTCATTTAATCCGAATTTCTAGTGTGAAGTATTTAAATTTACTGTAGTGCATATAGGAGGAAATTTCTTTCGTTTACTAGCAGAACGTTATCGTCCTAAAATTGTGTCCGGCCAAATGCCGCGTGGTGTTCGATGCGTAGAATTTCAGTTGTACTGTACTTGAGATATTAGAGGACGAGTTACCCAACAGAGTACTGTCATTCTGTTCCGTTACAGTCTGCAACAGTCGTAAAGGAAACGAAACCAAGTCTGACTTTTACGCTTTTCCATTAAAGCAGCACGCTTGGTTCACACAAAAAGTGCACAAGATGGGATCATAAATCTGATGAGAATTTTTAAATTGCTGGCAAATATTAAAGCCGTAACGCTTGATCATGTTCAATTTTCAACATCGGAATAACACAAACAATGGCCGAATGTCCTTAGAGATCCTTTGAACTGTGTGCAGAACAAATTGAGCAATTAAGTCGCTCTCAATTTTTGAAGTAACAAATCTGTACGAGGAATCCATATGGAGACAAACAATTGAAAACGGAATAACACAGCCGCAGTATAAAGTTCCTAATAATGTATACATTTTTCCGAGGAAGGCCATTCAACAAATCTCCTCTGTGTATGTACAAACATATTTGCACTAAAGTGAGAGGATATCGAGCGATACAAATTTTATCTGCATCTAAAGACACTTCATGTGGCTCACAGTGATTCGGAAAGAAACGAAGATAACTCCTAGTTGTGGCTCTGGTATTGGTAGCGGAGCCAAATATTTTTCGTTTGAATTTTGCTTCAAATGTTCATCAAATACCGTATTAGATCCTCATCATCATTACTTTCACCTGTAAGAACCGCGTACTCCAGGCGCGGTATTTTTAAGTGCTACTGGTTCTTTCGTCGATGAGTTTCGGTGGCATGGTAAGTAGCTGCGCATGGGATGTGAAAACTTTTAAATTGTTTTGAATACATCACTCTTAGTAAACTGTCATCTGTGTTATTTTCACTTTCGCTGTCAATTTTTGTAAGTATTTTGCATGCATGTGGAATATTCCGGGCGCGTGTGCACCATGTCCGTCGATGTCACCACTGAGATTGCTAGAAACAATAATCATACTTCCCTTTGAAGTGAATGTTTGACCCCCTCTGATTCGTTTTCTCCCTTCACGCGGTTGTGCCAAACCAACGCTGTGCGGAGGTCTCTCGACTGCCATACAGAACAGAGTCCTATTGAAGTACGGTCGGTTCATCTATCTTAGCGAATTCTCTTTTCCGAATACAATTTGATTTATTTGTGCATTGCTTATCCGATGTTCCCATTAGACCTGTGCAATGCTCGGAAGATATCGATGGGCAAATACTGATAGTCTTTTGAGGTCTTCGAAGCGCACCGGCCAGGTTTTTGTTTCCTAAAATAATAATGGCCGCACCACAGTATTGTCAACTCGAGAGTCGCCAGTTAAAGTTATCTCATGCTTACGCCACAGGTGACAGGTTCACAAACGTGCTCTGACCGAGTCCGTTTAGGCTTGGAGTCGCACGTTACACTTTGCAGGTGTGAAGCGGATGCCAAATCATGGGGTGGATTTGTTTGGATTATTTAACATTTTTTTCATCACCACGAGATCAGATCCAGAAAGATTCTATGTCGGATGCCTACGGATATTCAGTTAGCGGACGCCCCGAGAGCACCTTGATCCCATGTCACACACATGTCACACATGTCAATACTCAAGTGTTTGGTGGGATATAATGAGTGTGGATATTGATATAACCTAACTGTTGTAAGATGACAGGCTAATGAAACAAGGCAAACCTTTATTTAGCAGTCTAATTTTTATTCTGCGCATACAAGAACAATTGCATCCAGCTTAATGACCAACTATTTATGTATTTGGATATTTATTCACACTTTGGATCGGATCTAATTTACGGCGTCCGAAGATATTTTTAATTGGCTACCAATAAAATTTCACGTCACACCCGAAAGCTACCGTCGTTAGATGGGGACGAATTCTAAGAAGGGATCTATGCAGAATGTCCACTAAGGCTTTCTATCCAAGTGCATAAATTGATAAAAGAGCGCTAGCGACCTACTCATTAATTGAAACATAGGTACTTACGTCGCTCTGTGATTGTTGGTGTAATGGTATAAGCAGAAGTTTGGTGAATATTTAAGGCACAGCACTCAATGAAAATAGATTGAATATTTAGTAGCTGATGGTCACAGATTTCTTATTCCTGATTTACAAACTCGTGTATGAGTTTCAGGGAAGCTCTGTGAGTGGAAATTGTTTGATTAAGTAAAGCAGTCCACGATTCTCCGCATTTGGACTTTTGGGAGCCCAGAGTGTCGGTCTGTGCCGTGTTCTCCAAGTAGGAAAATGAGTGGTGCACAATATCAACACACTGGTAAGCGTACTCAATTCACACGAGCTTATGTGTTAACAATTTGGTAGTCATTCAACGACTGTTATCAAATGTGCCTAGAAAATTCGTCAAAAATAATTGAGAGATATTTCGTGCGCATTTTCACTGGCTAGTGAACGAACAACATGGCGTGCGCATTGCTGTTTATCACATCTTACGTGAATTAGAACATGTCTGTCATTCGCCCTAGGCGATATTTCACTTTGCCAGATAGCATGGTTTGATTGTTGTTCTAGTTATCTAAGCAACCCGTAGCCCCAAACCGATTACATTCAAATCGATACGCTGACATTGTATTAGTGTTTTGTTATTTTTTATTTGGTACCTGTTACACACCAGTTGGTGGGGATGAAAGAAACCTCGGCTGATGGTCATCCACGCGGAGTGAGCATTTCGTGTGTCACACGGATCGAAGTCACCCGGCTCATGTACTGCCTTCACGTTTCCAAATTTGAGAAGAATAACCGTTTCGGTTGTTGCATTTAGCAAATGTAGGTCGCTTTGCATCGAATGAGCATTAGAGAAATTCGTTTGTAAAATGTAAAAATGACACTGGACATTCCCGTGAAGGAATCAGTGAAATCATGGAAAATCTGTCACATGTATATATTTAGTCTGTATACCAACTGTTGAAACAGATGTGGAGCACAGGAAAAAAGAAATTTTATTTGCCAGCTTATCATGTGAGTGCACAAATGGTCGGAGCGTCCGATCAAAAACGGCAGCGTTTTCAGCGCACCACTGCATTTTATGGGTACGCCAAATGTTGATTAATCAACATTAAGTATCGTGTAAATCGCATTAGGGAAAATTTCATTTCGAATACATACCTAATTCTACATTGTTTGTGAGAATCCACGGGTAAAATTTAGGACATGGATGGTCAATTGAAAACAAATGCAAAGTGTTCTAGTGGACAAATTCAAATTAGTATTATGCAGTCTCACTAACACTTGATGTTGCAGATATGTACAATCGAATTAGGTGATATCTTCGGCATTGTGCATTAGCTGAAAACGCTTCAGATCTATCAGTCAGATGCGCAACCAAAAGTTATTCGTCCGTCCAAGAAAGGGAATTGACACAAACAAAATTGAAAATATGTTAGCTGTACGTACATTCTAGACGGTGTTTCTTCTCTCTAATCAACTATGTACTTCACGGTTTCGTTTTGTAAATTTCTATTCAAATACCGTTTTCGGTTCTTTCAGATGGATTTCATTATTGACGCATTTTACCCATTCATCGTTCCATATGTCTGCTTGTTTGCTCACATAGTTATCCAACATTCCTTCAGAAATGCAATGGTTTCCCTGTCTATTTTTCCATCAAAATCTCTGTTAAGCTTGGTTTCTGATACTAGACGCACAACTAAATATCAGTTGTTAAACTTTAACACCAACACAAACATTCAGCTTTTTTCACATACTGTGAATTCACCTACTGTGAATAAACTGGCATTACAAAAAATGTTTAAAAAACCACCGTTTTCTTCTCTAACAAGCTAAAGGCGATATGAGATGTGACACACAGCATGGTTAACTTCTTCAAGCGTCACCCGTGCACACTCCTATTCAATTCTCGTTCTTAACTCCACCGAATTCTTCGGTTTATTTCCATGATATACGCGAGCCTTGAGCACTTTTCAAAACCAATAATCCGGAAAAATTTGCTTCACTGCTCCATAGAATGTTGGAAACAATTTCTTCATTGTCCAGCAGCCAGTTGGCAAACGTGACACGTTGCTCCTTGTTTTCTCCCGTGAGTTTTTGTAATAAAGTGAAATAATACGGGTGGAGATGAATTTGGCCTCTCATGAAACAATGCAAGCTAACGGGGGAAATGCCGGTCAACTGAGACACCTGAGTTATCGACGAAGATTCCATGGCGCTCTGGGACTGATGATGCTCGACGGCATCCTGCACAATAAACGCTCTTTCATCACTTAGAGACTTTCTCCTTTTGCCAGGAAAATCCAATACAGATCCAGTGGACTAGAATTATGCAATCAAGCGTGTAATGGTCGACACGGTGAAAGGATCTTTGATGAAATCATGTTTGATTTGTTACGAGGAAGTGCAGAGTTGGCAGAGTGGGGACAACCGCCAAGAAAATAATAGAGTTTCACAATTTCAATGGGCGTACTGACATCCATCGTAAACCGAAAAAATGCCAACACTTGCACACAAAACCATCTTTGTATGGCTACATATAGTGAAAGATTTTGCTATTCTTTCAATAATTTGCTACGTTTACTTATCCCCAAGTTTTGGGTCCATTATGTGACCTGCTGTTATCTACCTCGCAATCGGTCAGTAAGTCAGTCAGTCAATCAACCATCCAACCAACCGGCCAATCAATCAATCAATCAATCAATCAATCAATCAATCAATCAATCAATCAATCAATCAATCAATCAATCAATCAATCAATCAATCAATCAATCAATCAATCAATCAATCAATCAATCAATCAATCAATCAATCAATCAATCAATCAATCAATCAATCAATCAATCAATCAATCAATCAATCAATCAATCAATCAATCAATCAATCAATCAATCAATCAATCAATCAATCAATCAATCAATCAATCAATCAATCAATCAATCAATCAATCAATCAATCAATCAATCAATCAATCAATCAATCAATCAATCAATCAATCAATCAATCAATCAATCAATCAATCAATCAATCAATCAATCAATCAATCAATCAATCAATCAATCAATCAATCAATCAATCAATCAATCAATCAATCAATCAATCAATCAATCAATCAATCAATCAATCAATCAATCAATCAATCAATCAATCAATCAATCAATCAATCAATCAATCAATCAATCAATCAATCAATCAATCAATCAATCAATCAATCAATCAATCAATCAATCAATCAATCAATCAATCAATCAATCAATCAATCAATCAATCAATCAATCAATCAATCAATCAATCAATCAATCAATCAATCAATCAATCAATCAATCAATCAATCAATCAATCAATCAATCAATCAATCAATCAATCAATCAATCAATCAATCAATCAATCAATCAATCAATCAATCAATCAATCAATCAATCAATCAATCAATCAATCAATCAATCAATCAATCAATCAATCAATCAATCAATCAATCAATCAATCAATCAATCAATCAATCAATCAATCAATCAATCAATCAATCAATCAATCAATCAATCAATCAATCAATCAATCATCAAATCAATCAATCAATCAATCAATCAATCAATCAACCAATCAATCAATCAATCAATCAATCAATCAATCAATCAATCAATCATCAATCAATCAATCAATTTAACCAGCTATCTATCCATCTAACTACTCATTCATTTATCTATCCATCTATCTATCATTCAATCTGTCAATCCATCTAGCGAGCCATCAATGTACTCAACTGCATATGTGCCTAAATATTCATTTGACTATTTTTTACTCATCTATTTTACCAATATAAACGACAATCTCCTTATATTTCCAGCCATATGTACAAATACATTCTGTAATCTAGTTTTGTAATGTCGACAGTTTTCACATGTATCCGTCGTAATTATTCCTCTTTCTGTCTATGCCCCGATGTAATCTGCCAGATAAACTTACACCCCAGGGAAAAAATATGCATATTGCACTGCACAGCAGAAAAACATCACAATATATTTGTGTTCCGGAGAACTAGTACACTGCGCCAGCATGCATTTGTATTTAAAGTGTTTTATACGTTTGCGCGTGGGAATATTTACACAGATGACCACTGTGGAGAAGTTATATTTACGCGTCTGGAATATCTATACTCTATCTAGGGCTGTCTTTCCAAATGTTGGTATGTATCAAGGATCTGAGATTTGGAAGCCCCATATATATTTTGATCAATGTTTCTGACAAATAGAAACCGAATTTCCGATTTAGGTTAGTCCATTTGCAACGCGATATTTGGATCTTACTGACTAAAGAATTGTGATGCACTCTTGTTTGTGAAACACTGTAGGAGTGTAAGGTAATATAGAAGAATAATTTCAAACTGTCAAATATTTAGCCTATTGCGGAAATTCTGATTACACGACCCAAATATGATAATTCCTAGACGCGACATTTTCTCCTACTAGAACAGAATGGTAATAGCTTACTCGAGCTAGAGCCGACTGTCGACCATGGACAGACCCTAAACAGTATTTTGGCTTAGTTGACTTAATTTTCGTGATAAGAATAGAAACCCGTTTCAAAAGAACGACCTGCTTGTTTTAAATTCGGTGTGTAATTTTCCCGGGGACAGATGGTGTTTGTGATTCATCGGGTATACCTTTTGGTCTGAAACTTCCAGTACACAAATTTTTCCATTTGGATATTTTATACCAGCAGCATTTTGTAGGCAAACTTCCTACTGTATACCGCTTTCAACGATTCGACCCAGCAAATATTCCACATTTTACGCTGGATTGCATGGTTTGTTGGGGCTCACCTTATCAGTAACAGTCCGTAGCCCCAAACCGATTACATTCAAATTGGTATGCTAGCGTTCTCTCTGTGGTTCGTACGATTGTTATTTGGTTCCGTTTATCACGCAATAGTGTAGATTAGTGAAACGCGGTTATTGAACACGTAAGCGGAGTGAGCGGTTTGTGTGTCTCGCTGCGCGAAATCAACAAACTTATGTGTTTACTTTTCATTTCGGAATTTCAGATGAGGAGCAGCATCGGTGATTGCCTTTATCAAATATGGTGCACCTAGCGTCGAATGAGCAGTAGCAGTGTTTGCACAAGCAAAATTGGACATACCCGTGAGGCAATAAATAAAGTAGATCGCATCTCTCTCATGCTTCACCGACGCGACGAAAATCCGTCGACAATAGTCATTTCTTCCAATCACATATATATCAGGTGTGTATACTTATTTTCAAGGAACGCGTGGAGCTCAGGATGAAGGGAGACTTAATTTTGCAGCTCATGAATTAAGTTTGCAACTAGTCGGAGCCCCTGTTTGTTCCGATCAACATTGGCGAGGTTTTCAACGCTTCTGTGGTCAACACTGCATTTCATGGATGCAACCAATGTTTGATCAAGCGTCATAAACAAGCATGTAAGTCGAATTGTGGAAAATTTGAATTCGAATACATACCAAGTTCTACATTGTTTGTGAGAATGCACGGATAACGTTTACGATATGGGATGAACAATTGTAAACAAATGTAAATGTTCTGGTGGGTACATACCAATTAGTACTATACAGGCGCTGTGTTCTTGCAACCATTCGATGTTGTAGATATGTGAGATCAAATCACCAAATTTCCTTGACATTGCGTTCTAGTTGGAAGCGCTTGAGATCAATTCGTCGAATACGCAGCAAATCTTAGACGTTTGTCGGTGTATATGAATTGACGCATATATTATTGTACATATACTCAGGATGTGCATACATACTGGACCGTATGTATGTTTCCGCTTAATTTTCAGCAATGTGTGTAGCGTTTTCGTTTTGTGAATTTCCATTCACATTCTTATGGTTGGGTTTTCCAGTTGGCTTCTCTAGGTGATATGTTTACTAAACGATCTATCGTTTCATATGTCTTATTTGCCTGCTTGAATAATTAATCAATATTCCACCAGGAATGCATATGCCTTTTTACTTGGTCTTTCAACGAAACATTTGTCCATCACTTGGTCTATGTATCTTATATCTATCCGTGTATCTATCTATGTATCCGAATATCTTGCTGAGTAAATATCCACCTATCTATCTATCTATCTATCTATCCATCTATCTATCTATCTATTATCTATCTATCTATCTTTCTATCTAACTATCTGTCTGTCTTTCTATCATTCCAGCTCTCCAACGATTGATCTAGCTATCGATTATCTTACCCACATACCTATCTATCTATCTATCTATCTATCTAACTATCTGTCTGTCTCTCTATCATTCCAGCTCTCCAACCATTGATCTAGCTATCGATTATCTTACCCACATACCTAACTAAATAATAATGTGGCTATCTTCAGTCTATCTATTCGTATCAGGTACACAATTATCTCTTTATTTTTCTAGTCATATAGACATATGCAATCTGCAGTCGAGTTTTGTAATGTTGACAGTGTACACATGTATCTCTTGCAAATATTTGCCCCTCCCTACGCCTCCTACGTAATTCCCCGACTACCTCCTGTTTATTTCATTCATATTCTCCCTCCAACTTCTCATTTCTGCACGGTGACAAATTTGTATTTGGCGATCTTTTGCTTCTCGCTATCACACTTGCCATCCTAAGGAGTTTCACATCATCATCCATATACATCCAGATCGTCACGTTTACCTCCCTCATTGTGTCGTAATGAAACTCGTTGATGAAGTTGCATGAGTTGTCCAATAGTTTTCATATCTCACTCCAAAGTACAACACCAAAATTCTAGTAATGTTATGGGTAAAGCCATAGCGCATCGTATGATTAGCGCTTAAATTGTAACGAAATAAAGCACTGCGTCATCCGGGGTGTTGAAGGTTTCCGTGCTAGACAAAGACAATATTAGTGTTAGCCGAGCAATGTGCGATGCGTTTGTCGCTTGTTACATTGTGTTCGTTCGTTTTCCTGATTATCACGCACGTTATGAGTATTCTATTCTGGACAATTCATGGTTTTGCCGTCATTTTGATTTCTCTATAGTTTCTCGCAGATCTGTTTGCTGCAGAATAGCTTATGCTCACTCAATCTACAGGATAATTACCACGTACAATGCACTTAATCGTTGCACTTCGTCTTGAGCGCGTTGAAACAATCTCCATTGAGAATCGTTGCTATGTGTATCCCGGTATCCAGATGAGACATAAACTACTGAACCGCTCTAGATGCATCTTAACCTCGTTTAGCAATCCGCCCTTTGTTGCGTGCAAGCCCATTAGTTTTCAGTGATAACTTGAGCAGTTAAAAATTTGTCTATCTGTTGGGTTTCCTAGAGACCATGTCCCAAGCAAGAATCACCATCATCATGGGGTGAATTGGTCTAGCTGATTTGTACGTCTGTCAATAAAAATGCTCGTGGTGAAATTTTCAACAGTATTGTTGTATTGGGTGCGGACGGACCGTTATGCAGAATGCACACACGAGCAAATAGTGGCGTATTTCTTACAGTTGTTTGAAGGTGTCTGTTCATTCAAACCGTAGCTGAATGACGGTGATTTTTTGATAAAATTGAGTTTTACCGATTATTTATTTTGACCCCGTTATCCGTCTAACATCCGAGAATGTCATTATAATGACATTTCCTCTGATTAGCCCACGGGTAGTGCGTGCGAATTCTCGTTAAAATGCTCATAACAGCTTTGATGTCTCTGGTTTTGTCTGCCAGAAAATAATGCGAGCATTTCGGTCGTGCAAAATACTACGACGTTGTCTGATAAGTTTGTTATCCTCTACGCCGACCGTTTTTTTCGTTTGATGGTTCTGCAACACAACAAAGGCGCGATTTTTGTGGTTACGTTAGATTCAACAGCTCAAGTAGAAAGGTAATTTCGTGACGTGACACAATGTGCTTAGAGAACTTGGGCGACAACTGAAGGTCATTCAAATGCCCATTCCTAAACTCGTTTGCATTGTTGGCGCCGGAACCTTGGATGACCTTGTTGGCCATAAAGCTCACCAATCAGAATTTCAGCCCCAGCAGTGTATTGTGTAGTTTAAGTAGACACACTATGATTCTGACAAGTGATGTTGGTTGTTGCTCCCGCAAGTACTATTGGAGAGAATCCATTCAAATTTGTGCCGGTGATTAGTAGCCTCAGTTCTGCACACACGCTCAGCAAACCGCCAGATTGCGGTTTCGATCTCGGTGCTTTTTGTATCCACGAAGTGTATAACGTGGTGTTTTATCACTTTTAATGATGTTTCCAATCCTCGATTATACGATAACGAGCGGATAGACGGGGACTGAGAAGCCGACAAGTTGTCTAATCCAGGTCGGCGGTGGACGAGATGTAGAGTAGCCGCTCAAAATACAAATCCTAGAAAGTGGTTTGGTGCCATAAACATTGCGATTTCTCGAGAGGAACACCGAATTGGATGTCATATCATCTCCCAGGAGGCGGGCAGTGCCGATCCTGTTATGAGAGCACGAACTGTCCCACCGGTTAATGCACACTCACTGGGAACTTCCGTGTTCACGTTGACGTCTGCGGATGGAGCAATTTGATATTTAGTTAATATACTAGACGACATTTTGTCAGCATATGGCGTATGTTTGACGTCTGATGTTATGCGCAATAATATTTAGTGCGCGCGATGTACTAGCCGTCTGTTGAAATCATCCGTTGTAATGCATTCCCCAGTGGATCAG